CTTCTTCTGTACAGGTAAGCTTTCCATTCTTTCTTTTCTTTCCTTCTAATCTACTCATTTTCTCCAAAAAGGAGTCTCTCACTACTTACCCCTTAGGATTACCCTCCTTAAAATACTGGTAAAGCAGCTTGCTTTAAATACTAGAACTTACATTGCTTTCCTTTTAGAAGTTTTACCAATTATCACAATAGATAATCAGAGAAAATAATAACATATGTGAAAGTTACCAATATTTTACAATACTGTGCATTTCACATCATTTGTTTAGAGACAGTAAATATCTGATATTTCCTTAGCAACTCTCTTTGCCTGGAATATTTGATATACATCACCATTCAGTTATAACACTCTTTTCCCACTGAACATAGAATTGGCCTTGGAAATCTTTTTAGCTCAGCAGTGTAGATGACCCCTGCCAATTGAATTGACAAAATATACACCTTTTGTACACTTTTACTATCCAAGATGGTGGGTTTCTTTTTTAAGTTTATTTATTTATTTTGAGAAAGAGCGAGAGAGAGAGGGAGAGAGAGAGGGAGAGAGAGGGGCAAGGGGTGAGAGAGTGATAGAGGCAGAATCCTAAGCAGGCTATGCAATGTCAGCTCAGAGCCTGAGGCAGGACTTGAACTCACGAATTGTGATATCATAACCTGAGCTGAAGTCGAGAGTTGGACACTTAACAGACGGAGCCACCCAGGTGCCCCAGTGTGTTTTTTGATAAACATACATGTTGTAGAGTAGCAATAATAATTTGCTTCTCCAAAATTTAAAGAGTGAAATTAGGAAATGAAGAGAAATTGAAACAAGGTAAAATACTTTCTTCAGGTGACTCACACACGACTTAGGTTTTCCTTATTAGATCCACAAAACCCCTAATCCAGAAACATTATATGTGATCTTCTATGTTGAACTTTGTGGTATTGGAAGGAAAAACTACACTTAGAACATACATAAAAATTGTTTTCATACAACTTTTATGACATTTTCCTTATTGATTTGTCATATATTTCTGTGAATGTCTTTTAAAAAATAATTTGAGTTTCTCAAGACAGTGACCAGGTCTTATTATCTGTTTCCTAAATATCTGGAATGACGACAAGGTGATCACAGAAGGGTGATCAATGAATCCAAGCATTCCTAAGTTATCCAGTTGTCTATGATTTAAAATTCTTTATATCTGTAAAACAAAAACAATTTAAATGATATGTACTCTCATTTTCAGATAATAAGTGTTGAAAAGAATAGATTAGTTCTACTTCATGAGGTAGATTATGTAGAATGTGTTTAACATGTTGGGCATCCAGAGTGAAAGACTGAGACAGTGCTCAAAAAAAGGGAGTGGTTTCCATATTCTGCATGAGATTAGAAGTGAGTCAAAAATTATCCTGAGTGAGTCAGCAATAGTATTTTCATTTTTCTGTTTTTTTCTTCATATTTAACAAATGAGATATCCAAAATAAATTTCTAATTGGCTTCAGTCTTTGGAGGTAACAATATTGCACTTTTGTCCTAACTTTGGAAAGGAATAGAATAGAGAAAATCAATGAGAGACCTTTCTTCTCTGCTCTTTTTCTGGGGTTTATTCATAGGTATTTTGATAACAGAGAAGGTACCCAATAATTTATTTTTAATAAAACTTGAAATTTAGTTGTAGTATCTCAACTAATTCTAATTCTTATCCATAATAATCAAATCTATCTTTTTCACAGTTATATTACAGTTACTAGAGCATTAATAGACACATTGATAAGTATTTGATTAATTTCTGTTGAATTCATCTTATGTTGAGACAGTTATAAATGGTCTTCCTCTATGTCAGATGATGGCAAAATTCTCAATTATGTGCTTACCAGCAAGTATTTAACTTTCTAAGTCCTTAATTTTAAATTCATATTTTGAGAGTGAAGAAATTGGGTATGGAAGGAAACACTTCTTGAATAATGTCTATTACTTTGTTCAGGAAGCTTTGCTAAGATTCTAAATATCTATGCATGTTTTGATAGTAAACACCTTGACCGCTATAGAATAAGTATGGCTAATATTCACTGGGACTCTTTTATACCCATATTCTGAGTGCCTTATTTGGGTGTAATAAGAGAGAATCAATGGACTGTTGCTCCCAATGCTTGCTTATGGGATCTGAGGAAAAACTTTCAGCTGCTTTTCTCCAGTATCTGCTGTAATAAACCATGGAAAACATATGGATGACCTCAGAAATAACTCCAAGCTACACAGAAAAAAATAGAAATGCACTTTGACTTTTTAACATAGGATATGCATTTTTTATTTGAAACTTACTTGAGAGTACACACCTTTCTTAAAGGTACAACTAAGCTAGATAAGGTAATTTTCAAACAAGTCAGTTAACTGTCATTATTTATGTTAAAATTTATTTTAAATAAAAATGTTATGGATTATGAAATCACCTAACAACTCTGGATCTCTGTACTTTTATGTATAGAATTAAATATTCTCAATGGTAATATCAGTCCAAAATTCTGTTTTTGGACCTTTTTCTGCGCTGAGATTCTTGTACTGGGAACACTAAAATGATAAATGTGGTTATATGAAACACATATTCTTGCAATATCTCATGAATAACAGAAGGTTATTTTCAAACTTGGTCACTTAGCAATTTATACCCATAATCTAGAAACTGTTAAAGTTTCTTAGAGACACTGGCCTCAGGAGAAATCAGTAGATAGCATTTTGTGTGTGTGTGGTAATGCACCAGCTTTTTCTATCCACTATCCCTTTGAACATTCAACCAAGCACAGAAATGTTCTTACTCTTAATAAGCCTCAGTAATCAAGACTGTGCAGAAGGATTCTTTCTTCCTTATTTCAGCAATACCTGAGTTAAGACAGAAGATCTGTGAACTGTGTTCTCCTAAGAAATCATTTACAATGGAGATCCTTTTTTCTTTCTCTATTTTGTCCTTTGGTATCTTCAGTATACCAGGTAACATAAATGTTATTGCCACAGGGGTCGGCACTAAGTGGAGTGGGGGGTTGGTGTCAAGATTTTTTAAGTAAATATCATTAACATTATATAATAATTATATTAATACTATCAGCAAAATCATATTATATTTATTTACAGCCTCAGATGGAGAAAATATTTGAATAATTTTTCAAAAACAATTGCCT